ATCTTTTTGGTTTGTTTTAGTGTCTAGGATTACAAACTTACACGTAAAATGTATTTTTGATATTAAATAAAAAATAAGTTTATTGATATTTTTAAAATATAAAACTAGTTCTCATAACTTTAATAAACTAGTTATTAAAGTTCAAAATGCATGCTAATATATATATTTTGAAATTATTCTTATATGAAAATACAATATGATTTATAAATGTTTGAGAGATTTAGTTGTTGCATGAAAACAATTTTTTTTGTATGTCTATATATTTTTTTTGCAACATTTCAAAAAAAAACCAGGTAATTTAATACCAGATTTGTATCTTTATAGTACAAAAAATAAATTAAGCAAAATTGATGGAAAAATACACAAGAAAACCATATATTTTATTAAAAAAATTTAAATTTTTTTGAATTTTTTTATTTTTTATTTGCTTATGCTCAACCCAATGTATTACTACAATATAATATTATATATTATTATTATATTATAATAATATATTAGGTTGGAAGCAACTTAACTATGTGAGTAAGCCCACTTTATTTAGGCTAAGATCGACCCTAAAAGAATTGGGTCGGAATTGATCTAACAAATACTTTTTTTTAAGGGTATTGGGCCAAATCCAACCTAATCATTTTGGTGTAGGTCGAATTTAGTTCGACCTATGAACAATAAATAGGCTTTTCATTATTCACTAGCAGAATAATAGAGGGTGGTTGAAGAAGAGAAAAAAAAAAAAGATGAGAAGAGGGGAGGCTATCCTAATGGTAATGTTGGTGGCAAAATGACGGTGGTTCCAAACGGCTGTAGGGAGAAAATGATGGCCTATCATGACGACTGCTAGAAGAAGGGAAACCTTCTTCTTCTCTTGTTTTTTCTTTTTATCTATCTTTCTCGTTTGTTTTCCCATTGGTTTTCCTTTCTTTATTTTCCCTTATTTTTTCTAATATATTTTTTATTTTTTTTTATTTTTTTCTTTGATTTTCCTTTCTTTATTTTTCCTTATTTTTTTCTAATATATTTTTTATTTTTTTTATTTTTTTCTTTTCCTTTTTTTATTGGGTTACGCCGAACCTAATATATTATCATAATATAATATTATCTATTATCTATTATTATATTATAATAATATATTGTGTTGGGAGCAACCCAAATATGTGGGCTAAGCCCACCCTGGTTAGGCTGAGACCGACATAAAAGGAATTGGGTTGAAGTCGACCAACAAATCCTCAGTTTTAAATGGATTGGGTTGAATCTAACCCAACCATTTTGGTGTGGGCTGACTTTGGTAAGGCCTGGAAACAATGAAGAGATATCCATTAGTAGAATAATAAAAGGCGGTCAAAGGAGGAAAAAAAAAAAAAGAAAAATAAGGAAAAGAGGGGAGGTTATCCTTATGGTAGAAAAATGAGGAAAAGAGGGGAGGTTATCCTTATGGTAGTGTTGGTGGTGATGGTGGTAGAATGACTGTGGTTCCATACAGCTGTGGGGAGAAACTGACTGCTTATAGTAGCGGCTGTTAGAGGAAAGGAAACCTTTATCTCCTGTTTTTTTTCCTTTCATTTTTTATCTATCTTTCTCGTTTTTTTCCTATGGTTTTCCCTTTCTCTATTTTTCTTTTTCTTTCCTCTAATATTGTTTTTCTTTTTTCTTTTCCTCTTTTTTTTTTTGTGTGAGGACCCCAAAAAAAGAGGTAACATTAGTGTTCTTAGAATCAAATCTCTAAAGGATAAAAATAAAGCCTTGTTATTTAAATGGTTATGGAGATTTGAACTTGAAAAGTCTAACACGTGTAAAAATATGATTAAAAGCATTTATAATCTCCAATGCTTCAAACTTATATCGTAAGATACTATTTCAGGGGCTGAAAGTACATGGTTGCAAACTATTAACTACTATGTTAAATATATATAATAGGCTGTAGAATATTGTTAATCATCAATCTGTGGTGTTAGTTAATATTGATAAGAGGATCAAATTTTGGTTTTATAATTGGGTTGATAATGGTAGTTTGACAGATTAGTTTCCTATCCTTTTTAGCTTATCCAATGATAAAAATGCAAGGTTGACAAGATGGGAGTGTGGGATAGATACAAATGGTTTTGGTACTTCTCTTGGTCTAGACCTTTGTGGGAAAGAAATTTTGGTTTATTAGACCATTTATATGCTATTTTGTCGAAAGTGAATTTAGATAAAAATAAAGAGGATAGACTAGTATGGAAAAAAAACTTTATAGATAAATTCATTATTAAATCCCTCCTTGGTTTATTAAGCTTTTGTCCTTCTATAAATACTATCTTTTTTTTTGCTAGCATTTGAAAAGGGATTATGCCACTTAAAATACAGGTCTTTTGTTGGATGACTTTTATTAAATAAACACTCATGATGTGTTGGTAATAAGAGGTATATTAGATGTCTCAACTACTAATTGTCTTATATGTTTAGTTGAGGAAGAATCAATTGATCACATTCTTATGCATTGCCATAATCAATGGATCATTTGGTCCATAGTCATTAACTTATGGGGTTTAGCGTGGTGCTGCCCAAATAACTTGTTAACCTTTTTTTCTTAATGGGATTCTTTAGGCAATGATAAGTTCTAAAAGAAAAGGCATGGTTTATGCTATTTTTTTAGTTTCATAGTTTATTTGGCTTCTTTATAATGATGTGATCGTTAAGCAGAAGACCTTGGACTACGTATGACACATTATTCTTCCTTATTATTATTAGTTCTTTTTTATTATTACTAGACTTTGTTTGTGGCTGAAAGCTATACATTTTGATTTTTCCTATACAATTTCAAATATGTTAAGATCAACAAAAGGTCTATTAAGATCAATATACTCTCCCCCTAAAGCCAATAGATTTAAATGGGATGTGGATGGACCCTTAAGTATAGGTGGTGTTTTGCAAAACCATTATGGAATTATTCTTGGTATCTTCTTGATGCTACTGGTTTTTTAGAATCTAATGAAATTGAGCTTCAAGTTGCTGTCAAAGCTATTGAAATCTCAACCTCTAACCCTTTTTTGTATCACACACATATTATTATTAAATCAAACTTGTCTAATGTAATTAGTTTGATGAATAATCTGGATAATAGAGCATGGTTTCACCATAAGCTTTTCTCTTCAGCCAAAAGATTGGCTCTATACTTGGGCTTAATCACTTTTTTTCATTCTTGTCATGAGTCTAATCATATGGTAAATCACTTAGATAAATAAGAACTGCATAGAAAAAGTGAATTTATTGTTTTGATTTGAGTCTAATAGTTCTTTTTTACCTATTTATTGTCTATTTTTGTTTGGAGTTACTAGTGGTGAAAGTTTGTTTTGTCAAGTTTGTGTTTCCTTTGTTATCTTGTCTCTTTATAGGGGATAGTCTTTGCTTCTTTGTTTGAGTTTTGTTTCTGCTTCTGCTGCTTTCAACTTTTGCTTATGGCTATGGTTTTTATGCTGATTTTTCTCTTTTAATGAAGATGCTTTCTTTTCCGTTCTTTTCTTTACCTTGAGTGTGGGGTTGTATGATGATGTAGGTGTGCTTCTATTTTGGTCCTTTCTGGTTCTAGATATCCTAGTCTTATTTATGCATCTTGTGCTACCTAATAATTTTATAATTTTTTTATTGTAATTTGGTTTTTTTTTATTGATATTTTAATAAGGTAGCTTTTTCATTTTTATTGGCAATATAAAGCTTTTGGGTTGAGATTTTATTCTTATTTTTCTAATTCACTTTTTTTGGTGCCATGAAACCTTTTGCTTAAAAAAAAACAGAGAGCCAAATCCCACCTTATCTTATCTGAAAGACAAGCTCAATCAAGATTTTAGAAAGAAAAAGGAGCATAATTTCATCATTGAGTCCGCTATCAGCTGCTAGTGCAGTGAACTCAATCAGAAACGCATATAATAACAACCAAAAATACATATAACAATATAATTTTTTTTGGAAATAAGCCCACCAAAGAAATGCAAGCCCGTCCTCTAACGCAGGTGGGAAGCAATTTAGATAGAGTGCATAGCAAGTGGAATCCACCCTTCTAAAGATACCAAAACATATAGAAAAATCATTTTCAGCCGATTTTGATTGATATAATTTATAGCTGCAATAAACAAAAATTTAAACAATAAAATAATATAAGGTTCTAATTATAATTTTATATTACTAGTTAATGACCTGCTTTTGCAATAAAAGCAACTTACTGTAATTAAACTCAAATTTGGAACGTAAAAACTTGGGAACTTATCCGATGCATTAACTAATTAAACGTAAAAACTCAACTTACTGTGAGAAGAAATGTAAGGGAAAAAAAATCAAAATTCTCCCATAAGTTTTTTGTTAACGTATTAATTAGTTTTCTTCTAGATGATCATTTGATTAACCCAATTTTCAAATTATTAATTGTTGGTCATTACAGCAAGCTCCATAGTCTTTGACTAGCAAGCTCTAAATGATCATTCGTGTTCCTGAATCAAAGAAGCCGCCTTGAACTGAAACTTGAGTTGTAAAACCTTAAGACCGTGTGGGTGACACATCAGAGAAGAGCCTGGTGAGAATTTTGGCATCCACTAGTACTTACCGTATCAACAAATAGGAGCTACTTTAATTGTATGTTTACAGGCTGATTGAAAATGTTATAACAGTTATTTAATAAAGTATTTTTTATTTGATATATATATATATATATATATATATTAAAATTTATTTTTAATATTAGCAATTCAAAACAAAATATGAAAGTATAAAAAAATTAATTTAAGGCATGTTTGGACTAAATAGGGATAGATAGAGGGAATTATGGCTTTAAGGCATGTTTGGACTACAAAAATAGATGTCAAAAGTCAATAGAATCATCTGGGAAGTGTTCCTTATTGATCTTTTAACAAACCACAGTTACATTGGTACATTACATTCACTATTTTTTAGTGCAACTTGACTAAATGATCATCTCCCTTCTTTGCTGTATAAATAGCTCATAGCCGTTGCTCACGAATACAACATACCAAGAGTTTCCCTTGAGAAACACTGAGAGAGTTCGGAGAGACAGGCTTGAATATTGACTTTAATTTCTTAATTTCTTGTGGTAGAGAGATGGCTCTGCATTTGACATGGATGTTAGCTTTTGGTCTTTTAGGTATAAATTACAAGTCCCGTCTCGTTCTTAACTTCTCCACAATTTCTATTCTTCTTAATTATGGATAATATTTCGATCTCTTTTCTTTTCTTTTCTACAACTCGCAGACGAATTTACGTTGATGTTTTTTTGGTTTTCTTTTTTGCTGCCAATGTTATACAGGCAACCTCATCTCCTGCCTGGTCTGTCTTGCTCCTTTGTAAGTCTTTCTCTCTGCAAACATTATTCTCTACGTACTTTTGTATTATTACCATCTACGAGCGCTATTCATTTCACTAACTAGTGAGAATTGATCATCCATATCACAGGCCAACATTTTATCAAATTTACAAGAAGAAAACAAGCGAAGGGTTTCAATCTATTCCATATGTGATCGCACTATTCAGTGCAATGCTTTGGCTGTTCTATGCAATTTTTAGTGAGGATGCCATCCTTCTCATCACCATCAATACGTTTGCCTTTTTCATGGAGTTCGGCTATATTGTTGTCTACCTTCTCTATGCCACCAAGAAAGACAAAGTATGTATGCCTACTTTCACCTGATCTCTTATTTCTTAAAACCCTTCTCACATTATTGGCGTACTAATATGAAGAAATTTATTTGGTGCAGATTCTCACCTTCAAACTTCTCCTCCTGTTCAATAGTTTTGGGTTCGGTCTCATATGTTTACTAACTCTATTCCTTACACAAGGCCAAAAACGTGTCCAAGTTCTTGGATGGATTTGCATGATATTTTCTTTATGCGTGTTTGTTGCCCCTCTTTTCATTGTGGTGAGTAATTTGAGTACGCAACTCAAATTTCAATTCTGGCATATATTTTTTTTCCTAATACTTGATTGAATCTTTCAGAGAGAAGTTATAAAAACAAAGAGCGTGGAGTTCATGCCTTTTTCCTTGTCTTTCTTCCTCACTTTGAGTGCAGTCATGTGGTTCTTCTATGGCTATCTAAAGAAAGACCACTTTGTTGCTGTAAGTTCAATATGGAATTTCCATAAAAGTTTTTTTCGTATAAAAAAAAAGGAGGAAAATCAATAAAAACACCAACTTGACACTTATGCTTTTATTTATTTATAATTAACATTTCTTCCTTTCCGGCTACCTCAACAGGTTCCAAACATATTGGGGTTTTTATTTGGTATCATCCAGATGGTCCTATACGTAATCTATAGGAAGCCCATGAAAATTTTGGTGGTGGAGCCTAAACTTCAGGATTTATCTCATGAACACATTGTAGACATTAGAAAGTTGGGCACAGCAATCTGCTCTGAGATAAACATTGTGATACCACAGCTGAATGCTAGTGGGAAAGTTGTATTTGAAGATCAAATTGCCAAGGAACTAACCAAGCAAACCCAGGAAATCACGAATGCCACCAACAAGATTTAATACATTTACGTACTGATCAATGGACGCGTGCACTAAATTTTGTATATAATTGTGTATATTAATGTTGTGGTCGTGCCTTGCTCTTTTTTATGTCTTCCTTTATTAATTAACGCCTCATGTTATGAATCTCTTCGCAAGAATATTCATGTAAAATATTCTGTCTCCTCTGTCTCTCCCAATCCATTTGTAATATTTCATATTTACTAAAGAACTTGAATAAAAATCTATATTTTGTGTCTCTCTAACGTATTAAATTATTCGGAAATAACCTTTTTGCGTCACCCTAATTTGGACAGATAAGCTGGAGAATTGTTATATAATAAGTTATATATTCATGTTATGTTTGATTTGAATGTTCGTGTTAATTAATTACTCCTTTCCAATGATTACTTTTAGGGAAATTATAAGAAAAGGACCTATTTTATAGTTATTAAAATAACATAGGTGAACCTAGTAATGATTCAAATTAATCTAAGCTTTATATATATGTGTGTTATTTTAATTTTTTAAATAAAAACTAATAAATTTTAATTAAAATTATAAATTAATTTGTTAAATTAATCGGGCAATACTAATATAAGTGAAGTGCATATTAGCATTACCCAATTTAATAACAATTCTTATATTATATTTGCAACGCAAACAACATCCAACATAAAAAATTTAAAAAACAACATTTAACATAAAGTAGAGAAAGGAATTTTTGTGATCGGTGAATACCAAGGCAACTGATATCTTAGAAGTGACATCTATAAAGTCACTTTAGCTTAATGTCTCTACTTTATAGAGTTTTTTTTATTAAATAAAAACAAATCTGATTTACATTCCACCAAATCTGCTCCTACCAACTATAATCTCGGCCTAATTATAGAAAGTTATTTATACTATGATTACACAAATTTTTATAGCTATTGTTGTGATATAAATAGTAACTATGTATATGGAAACTACTATATTAACATCCCCCTTAAATTGATGTTGGGTGATCAAGAAGCATCAATTCACCAACTAGAAACTGATGGCATTGGTGAATCATTGATTTGGTAAATACATCAACAATTTAAAGATTAGTAGAAATATATGGGAGAGAAATAACATTAGCATTCATGACTTCGCAAATACAAGGACAATCCATTTTGATATATTTGGTACGCTAATGGAAAACAGGATTGGTAGCAATCTGAATAGCACTGGTGTTGTCAGCATAAAGAAGATTAGGAATAGGTTAGAGAAATCCAATTTCTACAAGTAAACAATAAAGCCAAACAATCTCAGAGGAAGCAGCCAACATTGCTCTATATTCAAACTTAGTCGAAGATTTGGAAACGCGATCTTGTTTCTTACTCTTCCAAGATATTAAGGAATTACCAAGAAACTTACACCAACCCGTGACAGAGTGATGTGTATCAGGACATCCTGTCTAATCAGCATTACTTAAAGCAATAAGATGGATAGAAGAACCAGCTAGATAGAAGAGACCACGACTAGAAGAGCCAAGTAGATATTGAATAATATGACGAACAACCACCAAATATAAATGACGAGGAGATTGCATGACTTGATTGACTTGTTGGACTATAATATATATATATATATATATCAGGTCGAGTAATAATAAGATAATTCAAGCTACAAACTAATTGCCGATATAAAGTTGGATAAGGAAGAAGATTGCCAACTTCACGTTGAAACTTATCATTCACCTCCTGAAAAGTATCCACCAGAGAAGAATCTTGAAGACCAGCCAAAGCAATCATGTCCTGAGCATATATATATTGATGCAAAAATACATCAAAAGATGAAGAATGAACTTCTAATCCTAAGAAGTAAATAAGAGAACCAAGGTCCTTCATGTGAAAACAATCTTAAAGATGGTGTTGGAAGTTGTTAATCAATAAAAAATCAATGCTAACAATGACAATGTCATCTATATAAACTTATAGAAGAATAAAACTAGTAGATGTTTTGCAAAAAAACAAAAAGGAATCATATTTGCTTTTGCATAAAAGAGAAGTGAAACAAGGTAGAGCAAAATTTATCAAACCATGCTCGGGGAGCTTATTTTAAACTGTACAAGGACCACTTCAACTTACACACAACTGATGTAGATGATAAAAATAAACCAAATGGAGGTGTCATATAAATATCCTCTTTAAAATCACCATGGAGAAAAGTATTTTTGAAGTCCATCAGATAAAATGGCCAATCTTGGGAAGCAGCAATGACAATAATAATGCGCGCTATAGTTATTTTAGTGACAGGAGCAAAAATTTCCTTATAATGAACACCATACGCTTATAAAGAGTTCCATTAGAGCGAAACTTAATCAAGTATACCCATTTAGACCCAGTTTAGGTAATAATAGGAGGACAAGAAATAAGATTTCGTGTATGATTATCCTGAAGAGCATGAAGTTCCTCTTGCTTTGCTTTCTACCAACACTCATGTTGTATAGTATGTGAGTAACATGATATAACATTAGTAGTGGATAGAGTAGTAGAAAAACCATATCAATCAGGAGGATGAGAGTGGCGAAGAGCAAGCTCATAAGTAGTATCATGTATTGGATCAATCTCAAGAAAGGGCAAAGTTGGTTGATCTCTTTCATACACAATTCCAGGTTAGAACCTCTCAAAAGATGACACAACCTCAAAATGAGGAAAAATAGGAGCAACATAAGAGGATTGACATTAGCAAAGAATAATATTGATTTTAAAAGAAAACAACATTTTTATAAATATAAAATTTGTTATAGTTCTCATAACAAACAAAACCTTTGTGAGAAACATTATAACCAAGACATACACCTTTAGCAGACTGAGCAGAAAGTCTGTGTCATTCATGAGGAGGCAAATGAACAAAGCAAACACAACTAAAAGTATACAAATCATAATAGCTGGGAGACATATTATGGAGACGATAGTATGGGGAATCAAAATTTAACACCTAAGATGGCAATTGATTGATTAGATAAACTGCAGTAGAAAAGGCTTTAATCCAGAATTTAAAAGGTACAGATGACTCAAATAATAAGGTCTTAGTGACATACAAAAGATGACGATTCTTACGCCTAGCAACCCCATTTTGTTGTGGTGTATATGGACAAGAATAGTGTGAGGCAATACCTTTCTACTGTAAAAAATCATGAAATTCATGACATATATTCCCCACCCGAATCATATTTTAATACCAGTAGAAAATTGAGTTTTAATATAGGTAAAAAATGACTTGAAAATAGAAAGGACCTCAGATTCTGAATGAAAAAAATACATCTAAGTAAACCAATTGTAATCATCAATAAATATCACAAAGTGCTTGTAATGAGCATGAGAATTAATTGGTGTAGGATCCTAAACATTACTATGAATAATATCAAAGCATCGTTAACACGACTTTCATGGAAAGTAAAATGAAGAGTTTTACTCTTCCTTAATTTACATAAAGAACAATAAAAAATAATATCAGAAGATGAAAATTGAGCTTTATTTCCAAACAAACTAGAATTCAACAACCGAGATAAAATAATAGAATTCAAATAGCATTAATATTTATGCTATACTTCACTCTTATTTGGAATAACTGTACAAACAAAAGACTAACAATGAGGAATGGAAAAATACAACAAAAATAATCCCCCAACTTTAAGCCCCTTCATGATTACCTTCCCTGACACTTGATCCTACACAAGACAATCATTATGAGAAAAATACACATCACACTTACTATCCACCAATTGGCCAACCAAAATAAGACTAGTAGACAACTTTGGTGATATAAAAACTTTCTTGAAAGTTGGAGTGATATCTCCAACCTTAGTAATGAAGATATGACTACCATTAGCAACCTAAATTTATGATGAACCATGATACTCATGCATATTTTTAAGCATACTAGATGAGTTGGTCATATAATTTGAGATAGTATAATCAGCAAGCTAAAATTAAGAACTAGGATTGTTACCTTGCAGCCCTGATGTTGAAAAAGCTGTAACAATCATCTGTTGTACCATTTCATGAGCAAGTGTAGATGATGCAGCTGTCGTAAATGGGCTATCAGACACCATAGCTTGAATGACATTTATTATACGATTTTGAGGACGAATGGGGCACTCTTTAATAATATGGCCTTGCTATTTGCAATAATTGCAGAACTTTTTTCTATAATTATTTGTAATATATCTATATTCTTTACAGTTATAGCATTGTATATTACTCATATTCTAACCATTTCCTTTTCGTTGAGCAGCAAAGGCAACTATAACTAAATTGTCTTGTTTGAAACTGTCTTGTGTAAGGAGACATTGCTCTTCACGAAGTAATTTCCCAAAACAAACATCTAAGGAGGGAAAAAGATCTTGGTTCATTAAATTGGAGTGGGTAATCTTAAATTCATATCGCAATTTCATTAAAAATTTCACTTGCTCATGAACCTATTGAACAACAAAGAGAGACTTAGTAGGTATTTTGGCATAAATAATATCAGTGTATGCCGCCTATAAATTTTGAAAACTAGAGTAATGATCCTAAATGGAAAGACTATATTAAGAATAATTAAAGATATCATTTTTAATTGAAAACATCTAGCATTGTTGTCTTGATAGTAAACCTTCTTTAAACCTTCTTCAGATACTCCTATATGGTTTTAACTGTTTTGTATGGTCTTAGATTAAAAATAATAAGAGGATTAACATATATTAAAATCCAAGACATTACTCAAGTATCTTTGACCTTTCATTGAAGCAACTTTGTCAAGTCAATAGGGGCTGGATCGCTACCATCTACATGACCCCACAGTTCTTTCCCCTTGAAAAATGCTTGAAACTGAAATTCCTAAGCAGAATAATTCTTTCCAGTAAAACGAACACTAAACAATTCAGGATGGTTTGAAGTCATCTTCGTGACAGACAAAAACAAGAGGAATTAGAAGAAAATTCAAAACTCAATAGACAACCAAGAATCAAATAATAACCAAAAACCAAGAGTCGAATGTATCTAAAACTAGCCAAAAATTCAATTAAAAAAAAAACCTAAAAACCAAGACAAGATCTGACAGACCAGGTGATGGAATGCAAATTCAAAAGTGTTGCTTCGATACCAAGTCACTTTGGTTGAATCCTTCTATTCTGCAGAGTCTGTGTTATTAAATAGAAATAAATCTGATTTACATTCCACTAAAT